TCTTGTAGCCATTATAGGGATGAAGATGGTCCAAAGCAGTGGACAGACCTCCGTTATGAGCATGTGATGAAACTTCGGCAAGTAGCACTGGAGTCAGCTCGTGAGATGTGGGCGGATTACTTTATGGTAGGTCAACAAAACAACTCTTTACAGGCACAATATCGAGCCAGCACTTCTACCCGGACTAACTTTATTGTTCGGTAATAGCAGCAGAGGGAGTGTACAGAGTTACAATTGTAATTAAAGCACAGGGAAGGGTGTTGAAAATCTTCAGTCTCTTATTGTTAAAGTTTATCTGGTATGGTTCATTTGGAGCCTCACACTGACACACAGCTTGACTCCACATGAACCATATTTTAAAATGCAGCTCTGTTCACATTTCTATTTGTATTCCCCAGCCCAGCCCACATAGCTTCAGTGGGGTATAATTTTGAAGCAAAGTATATCCAGAATTGCAATAATTTTGTGCTACAAATTTTTGGAAACTGTCCTAGCCTTTCTCCCTGAAAACAGATTTGAAATGAATAGTTTCTTCTTCGACTATTCACAGACATATTATACAGTTTATATTATCTTCCTTGTGTAGTTGGTGGACTGTGATAACCTCCTCACCAATCCCGATGTGGTCTGGAAGCTCATGAAAGAAAATAAGACCATCATTGCTCCAATGCTTGAATCCCGTGCAGCCTATTCAAACTTCTGGTGTGGAATGACCTCCCAGGTACTGTGTTGACGATTTGGTCACATTCTTATGTGTGCGCTCAGCATTTTCTAAGGGTTCGGTGGTTTAATGAATGCTCTTAAATCCTCTCTGAACTCAGCTGTTAACCAACTCTGCTTCTTCAGGGTTACTATAAGCGCACCCCTGCCTACATACCCATAAGGAAGCAGGTGCGGAAAGGCTGTTTTGCAGTTCCCATGGTCCACTCCACCTTCCTGATAGATCTCAGGAAAGAGGCTTCCAGACAGCTAGCCTTTCACCCGCCACACCCAGAATACAGCTGGGCTTTTGATGACATCATTGTGTTTGCTTACTCTGCTCGGATGGCAGGTATTTTACAATTTAATGCTTATATCCAAAGATTCGTCCCTAACTTTTTTAACCTAAATGTTGTAACTTCAGATTGAGAAAATATTTGCATCTTCTGCTCTCTACAGATGTCCAAATGTTTTTATGTAATAAAGAGACCTATGGTTACTTCCCTGTGCCACTGCGATCCCACAATACTTTGCAAGACGAAGCTGACAGCTTCTTGCACTCCCTGCTGGAGGTTAATGGTCAGTAGCTTGCACTCAGACTGAGGGATTTACTTCTGCATCCAACTCCCTCTTTTCTTCTGGCTTGAAGTCTGTATTCTACTTTCTACTGCTCTATCTAAATAATAACTATCAGCATGCAATTCTATATACCATTTATACCATTTCTGCATCCATCTTCCCTCCACTGTGCAGTGCGAAATCCCCCAGTGATGCCTTCCAAATACATACCTGTTCCTAGAAAACAACCTGACAAAATGGGCTTCGATGAGGTGAGTAACAAGTGATGTGAAGATGGAGTCTGCAAAAATGGCCTTCTATCCACTTCTGTGCTAAATGCCTCCCCCTGCTGTTAAAAATCTATAATTACATTGGCTCCACTGTTGCCCATTTGTAGGTGTTTATGATAAACCTGCAGAGGCGAACTGACCGCCGAGAACGTATGCTGAGGGCATTACACGAGCAGGAGATTACATGTAAGGTCATTGCAGCTGTAGATGGAAAGTAAGTTCACCCTGTTTAATGAGTACTTCACACTTGTTTAGTTCTTGGTAATCACTTGTCTCTCCTTTCTCATTAACAATTTTGCTCTTTCCTCTCTATTTCAGAGCAATGAATATCAGTGAAGTTCATGCTATGGGCATCCACATGCTCCCTGGCTACAGTGACCCCTATCATGGTCGCCCACTGACAAAGGGAGAGCTAGGATGCTTCCTTTCCCACTTTAACATCTGGAAAGAGGTGAACCTCAGAAGCTTTTGAACATTTGTGAACCAGACAGATGGGTGACTTATTGATAAATGTGTGTCTGGCTTTAGATTGTGGAGCGACGCCTGCACACCTCCCTGGTGATTGAAGATGACCTGCGCTTCGAGGTCTTCTTCAAACGTCGCTTGATGAACTTGATGAGCGAGCTGGAGCATGAAGGACTGGACTGGGATCTCATGTGGGTTTTGTGCTTCCTCCACTATCTTTGATTTTTATCTTTATTACCCTAAGTTTGCAATTGATTCTCATTTCTCGTCTCTGTTTCTTTCTTCCAGTTATATTGGTCGGAAGAGAATGCAAGTGGATCACCCAGAGAAAGCAGTGCCTAATATACACAACTTAGTGGAAGCAGACTATTCATATTGGACACTGGGTTATATGATATCATTACAAGGTGCAGAGAAGCTGTTGAAAGCAGAACCACTAAAGAGGATTTTGCCAGTGGACGAGTTTCTTCCGATCATGTACAATAAACACCCTGTGTAAGTGTTTGTATGCAACCCAGTATACACATATAACACATACATCTGTTCAGGAGTTTTGCCATTCTTTGTTTTTCTTGACATTACCTTCTATTCCACAGGTCTGATTATATGGAACAGTTTGAAACCAGGGACCTGAAGGCATTTTCAGCTGAGCCTCTTCTAGTATATCCAACACACTACACAGGCGACAAAGGCTACATCAGCGACACTGAGACCTCCACAGTGTGGGACAATGACAAGGTCCGTACAGACTGGGACAGAGCACGCTCAGGAAAAACTCATGAGCAGGCTGAGATCAGTACTGAGGCCCAGAACTCAGATGTGCTCCAGTCGCCTTTGGACAGTACAGCACGGGATGAGCTATGAGAGGAACTTGAGATTTAGAGCACAAACCCCCTTTATTCTTTAATCATGTTTCATCTTTGATACTTTTGATTTTGCATCTCATCAGGGATGTAACATCAGAGTTTGTAGAAAGATTTAATTTATCCAGATGTGACAAGTTAAAAAGGGATCAGGTGTGTCTTATGTTTGCTGTCATGTTGTCAGTTTATAGTTTTTTCTTTATAAAGGCACTAGACTTGCCATTTGGAATGGCATTTGCAGTACCCAACTTCTGTCTGTCATACAGAAATCAATCCATACATTAGCAAACAATGCAACTGAACTGTTACATTTCAGTCGTGAGGCAGTTAAATTTGTTTAATTTGTTTGTTTTTTTGTTTAAATGTTGCTTCTTTTATAAATTTCTCAAGACTACAAATAAATTGGGATGTAATCACACTATGTCACTGAGGAAAATCAAGACTTTTGCAGACATTCAGGCCTTAAATCAATCGGTAATCATTCTAAATTCATTGGTCTCTATTGTGGAAAATCCAAGAGGAGACATTTACATGTGTTTTGCTTTGATCTTCAGTATTTTCTCTTTTTAAACTTCTTATTGCTGAGTTTTGAATAATCATTAGCCAACACTTAAGATGCTTGCAGTAGAGCTTCACTAAAGCAACAAATCACACAAGCAACAGTAGCAGTCAACTCAGATATATATAATCACAGTGCTACTGTGGAGTATATATGTGTCCCTTGTCCCTTGGATTATTCCAAGACTTATGCCGCCAGCCAGCTGTTGACATGGTTGTAAATGGGACCGACCAGTGTACACACCTCAAATTTGGTGGTTTTGGGAGGAACATGGTTGTAAATGCCTTTTAAGTTCCCTCAGAAAGCACCCACCCAACCGCATCCAAACACACATCAGTCCCTCTAAATCCTTCTAAGTTAAATCTTAATTTGAGCGTTTTGGGTGATGAAGATGAAGTTGATAACACATCCCTGATGTATAGTTTTCATCATCTTACTTTTTGCAGATTATTTATTCTGTGTTTTGCATCACATTGCTACACTAAATCTTCCAGGAAGTTGATTTTTGTGTTAATGGGAGCCGTCCACCCATGGATCTTGCACAAAATGTTAGGGGTGCATTGTGCCAAGAAGAAATAAAATGTTTTATTTTTAAAAAAAGGTTGAATTTGTGATCACTGTGATGGGATGTATACTATCATGCTTGTGTAACCACTTTCTCCGGTTTTGCAAATTTAGCTGTAGCCAGTAACAAGATAGTGTCAACAGGTAAAAGACATGAGAAACCACTTCACTTAACATTACTTTATTGTGAGGGAGGTTAAATTATTTTATTTTATGTGGGATGCTTCTGTTACAGTAACTGTTTATAGAAACCTCATTTACACTTCATGTACACTGTGAATTTCACACAAAATAGCTGCAAACCATTTATTGCATTCATACCTCATTCGCTGCTGTCACTGATGAAACACCACATAAACAATACACACATGCAGCCCTCTCACTTGTTTTATCTTACTAGCCCTCAAGATGTCATCATTTTACTGACACTCTGCTTCAACTGTCAGCTGTCAAGCGAGAGATAAACTGTTAAGTATAACCAGATGGAGGACTTTTTGCTGTTGTTGTCTGCAACAATTAAGAGGGATCCAACTTTAGACATTATTGAAATGATGATCAAATGAGGCCTAATAGGGTAGCTTAAATTCACACCTACAAACTAAGTACTATACTGTATGGGGGGTCACAGAGTATACAGAACAACTCAATTATCTTGAGTATGAGCTCATTCACCAATTAAGTAAAGAACTTGATTTAAGTTATTTATTCTGATGTAATGTAGATGAAGTATCAGCTGGCTTGTTTGACCAATACCTGCCACTATCAAATATCTGTTATGAAGGTCACATATCTGTAATTTGTCAAAATGAAATATATTTAATATATGTAATTTATCCAAGGAGGTTAGCCATTCTTTTTTTACAAAGACAGTGCAATCTCAACGCAGTGGCACCTCTCACTATGAGTGGCGTGACAGCGTAGGTGGGGTCTACAGTGACAGCAAAAGACACTTCCTCTTTTATGGTGGTGAAAACATTGGCCAACCTCCACTCTACCAGAGAAAGATCCTTTTTCGAACACGAACGTCAGCAAGCTCAGATTAGCTGCATGCCAAAAATTTAGCAAGTGTTGTCTGCAGTGCAGGTTTCCTGCCTACTCAACTACACGTCTCTTTAGTATAGTGTAGTGTGACCTTAAGGGCAGCAGATGATGTGTGCGTGGTGTTAGTAGAGGCCTGATTCTGTGGTGATCTGTAGAAATGGAAGAAGATCAAGTGCCTAACAAGGATTCCTCTCAAGCAACAGGTAAGCACAAAGAATGATATAGGATATGTTACCCATAATGATTATATGTGTATAAATATTTTTCATTCATTTGTTGTCAAAACCCTTTTCTATCAAGGTATATTTCTTCATTTGTTTCAAAATGGATGAATATTCTCCTGCTGTGTGCTGTTTGGAAATATGCTGACATTGCTGTAGTGCCATTATGACATAGGTATTGCATGTGTCTATGCATGTATATACTGTATCAACAATGTGCCTGAATATTCTTCGGTAATGTGTCTATCAGGAGTTTTGTAGTGCTGTGTGTCACCTTCCTATTCGAAGAAGCATTGGTGAAATTCTTTGTCCATTTTTACACATCTTGTTCGGTCTTCTTTTTTGTCTGACTCGTGTTTTTATATGCTTGTCTTTAGCAAAAAGCCAAGAATAGAATATTACCTATTGACTGTTGATAAAACTAGAAATGTTTGCAATATGCCGCTATCAGGAGCCTATTCAATGTGACTTAAATGTATGAATGTGAAATAGTTTCCTGTAATTACAAGTATTGTAGGTATATAACAAACAAAAATTAGTGATTAGTGTTTTAGCTTTGTTGAAACATCTTACTTGCTTTTCAATTCTCATTTTTATACTGAAACACTGTCACGGTGGTGTGAAAAACAAGGACTCTATGTTCATGGGTAGTGACACAAATTGCAAGCAGGATGTGGTTGACCAAAATGGAGGTGTCTCAGAGAGAGAGATTGCTCTTTCTCCTTTGTTGCATCTGTTGTAAATCATCATTTTAAAAACGCTGTGGTATGCCCCATAGTGAAACATCAGTTAAACAGTGAGAGCACAAAAGGTTGAAGTTTTGTTATCAAAAAAACAAACTAACAAAATCATTGTTCCTCATTGTATAGTATTTCATTCAGTCAAACAATTGTTTCTCAGTAATGTAAAGGAAAGCTGTGTTTGATTTATTTTCTTTATTCATAATTTTTTTTGCTTGTTTTTTAAACTTGCTTAAATTATAAGTATTATTATGTTGTATATCAGGCATTTAGCTGATGCTTTTTGGTGAACACCTAAGAAGGAGTGCAGAAATGAAATACTGTACAATAACCACATTATAATCTTATTGTTTTATGTATCTTAGCTTATCTATTTTTCATTTCAGATGTGAACAAGGTGCCTCGTAAATCTGAAACCAAGCGATACAGTGAGATCTTCAGAGAATTTGATCAACTTGATTTATCTTTAATCTCATCGTAAGTATTATACATTTACAATATCTACCATGCTGCCTTGTCTCCTGCATCAGTCTGCTTGTTCAGTTTGACCTGAATACAGCGATGGAAAAACACAGTGGTTAGTGAGGTGTCATTCAAAGATGCTGTAGGCTTGGCTGATTGTATGAAACCATACAGGATGAAACTGTTCAGATATATTTGTCAGCTCAAAGCCATAATCCATCAACCTGAACTCAGACAACTATGCATGTGAATATTCTTTCAGTCAAAAACAAGCATCACAGCATTTCTTTGAAATGGCACTGACACTGTATGAATAGTGTGTGGGTAGTGTGAAGTAGAGGTACAGTAAAGTGAATAGATATGTATTGGACTAAAAAAATACGTATTTTTCGTGTAATACTGATCAGCCCAACATATGGTATATACAGTTAGTGTGTTGCCTACATCTGTCTGGCAGATGTAGGAAACATGGCTGCATGTAAATGGAGTGTATGTGTGTTCCTCAACAAACTCTGAGACATTTTAGCTATTGCTATTTGATTGTGTAAGCATCTCAATAAATTCTTTCTGTGTTCAGTGCAGGGGAGGATCTGCTGGCAGACCCTGACTCACAGTCCATCTCAGAATTCATCTTTGCAGAAAATGCAGACCTGTCCGATGTGTCTGTAAGGGATCAACACATAGTTTTTATAGTTAATTAAATCAATACTTAGGTTGTTAGAATTATGGAGATTTACTGTAAGAAACCAATTACAGAATATTGTTGGCACTTTTTGGGGATTAATGATGCATTTATAGAGTGACAGTCTGCTTTTTTCCAACAGTGTGAAAATTTGTTTTGTCCACAGAAACGTGCTGAGGTTAATGAATTGGATGGAAACCAATCAGGTATGATTTATGTGTGAGAGAGACACCGAAGGAACACAAAGAGTGTGAAGGTGTGTAGCTTTAAGCTTTAGCTGATATAAACTGTGAAGGCCTGCTCACAAGGTATCAATAAAATACTCTTCTGCACTGTACTGCACCACCAGTCTGTGAATTAGAGACTTTTTATAGTGGTTTAGGTCACTGGTTCAGTTACCACCCTGTGACTGACATTCAACAACTCAACAGATCATTAGCAATGATGCGTAGGATCTGCTGTCAGTCTGTGACACTTAATAGAGTATCTTCTTTACTTGTTTTCTTCTAATTAAACGTGAGTTGTAATTGCCCTGTTGTAACAAGATTAGGATAAAGGGAGGAGATTAGAGCAGGAGACAGCTGCTCTCAGTTTTTACCTTAGACACAGGCGGAAGACAGAGGGGTTTACAGAAAAAGGACGTGTCGTTGTTATGCAGACTATTGCAGTAAACACAAGGGAGGCAGAGAGAAAGACTAGACTTACTCACTATCCAAACAGGAAGTCACTGCCAAGTACTCCAACCTCAGTTTTACTCAAACTACAGGTCACAGCACACAGTAAGAGATTGGGAAAACAGACGGAAAGTGATTAAAGAATACAACGGAAAAAGGAATAGCTAAAAAAACAAAACAATAGCTAACTGATTATATAGCAAAAAAACGTTTCTCATACCTGACTGGAAATGTCAAAATCAATTCTATAAGCGCCAAGCATATTACTAGAACATGCTCTTTGGTAATCTGGTTTTATGTGTTCCCATTGGTTGGGATTGGTCAGTCAATATCCCTTAACCCCCCTTGTTCAGTCACACACCAGGGGGTCAACCTCACTGGATGCTCCTCTAAAGCCTGTCACTCCGCAATCTGGACCTGACCGGGATAATCCCCAATCCAAGTGAAGAAGGCCATAGCCGTGTGGCAGCAAAGAATCTGCTTGGAGGTTGATTGCTGAAAGTGCTCAGAGCTCTCCCGAAAACAAATCACAGAGAGGAAAGGCTATGAGAGGTCAGCCTTGGCACACAATCTGGCCACAAATCCATCATTCTTCTGGAATTGCCTGTTCTTTCTTGCGGCTTTTGCTTGAAGACAGAGAAGAAAAGATCATCCTGCTTGGATTGTTATACCACTTTAACCGGATTTGGTGTCTGTGCAAAAGAGCAGAGCAGTATAAAATCTGCATGTCTGAGTAAGGAACTTGAGAGAGAAGTTGTCACACTCTTTCGAGCAGTGCATGCTTGCTCACTTAAAATAGCTAAAAACTTGAAACAGCACTGTGGACGATTAGCAGAAGTTCTTTAAGTGCATGTGTGTTTTTGCTTCAGGAGGAAATTAGGATGTGTTCTAATAGATTTTGACATTTATTTGCAAATGTTCTACCGGAGGTGGAACGCACAGAAAGAGGAAAAGAGAAAGTGGTGTGGGGAGAGACCACGTGATTGTCATACATACATCATCCACCCTGTGTTTGTGTGAGTCACAGAGGAAGAACCAAAGTGGTTGTCATATCAACACCCTGCCTGCCTGACCACAGAAGAGCTATGACACGGCAGTGTCTGATACTGCACACTGGCACTGCACACTGGCACTGAGTGGTGTTTGTGACTCTGCTATTGCAGCATGGCTTACTTTTTTGTAAATGACTGGAAGTGAACAGGTGTGACAGGGAGGGGCTAAGCAGAGAGGAAGAGGGGACAAGAGGAGGAAGTTATTTAGTTAATGCTGTTTGTCTTTGGTCCATAGAAGTACTCCCCTCTCTGGTCACGTCCTCATTTCTGTTAACTGGGAGATTTGGGATTGAATAAAGAGTTTTTTGCCAACCAGCAACAGAATATATTACGCATCATGCAAGAGATATGGACAAACTTACTGGAAACCACAGGACCTTTATTCTTGGGAACAGCTATGAGTTGTCATATGCAGTCACTGTTTCCTGTTTTGGGTTTGTAAATAGCTTGTTTTAAAGTGACATTGGATTGGATCATCTTTATCTTGTCCAATTACGTCTAGGAGACGGGGGGTTGTCACTCTACAGTAGATAGGTATTTCTTTGAGGCTGGAGGTCGTTTGAGTCCTCAAGGAGAGAGCTAGGGGTTTAGCCCAATGGACTCTGTGTGATCCCTGGGTAGAGCTCCAAGTGTCTGGAGCTTGCAGTGATGCTGATGTACTCCCTCTCAGCCCAGGAAGCAGACCTGGTCCTCTGTCGCAGTGAAGATGGAGTGGAGACAGCACTGCAGTATACCAAGATGTGGTGTCGCTACGCCAAAGACCTCCTGGCCTGGGTGGAAAAGAGAATCAGCTTGGGTGAGTGCACATGCAGCTTAGAAAATGAAACAGTGGCAACAGTAGTAACATGCAATGATCACAATAACATACATGTACTGCCTCTATCTAGCATCTGTGCCTGCTATGTTAATTCATTTAAATATAAACTGCTCACAGAGGCAGATATAGATGGGGTGGTTACAAAATGCAAATTTGCTGTCTCTACAACAGAGAATCCAGTTCATGAAAATCCTCTTATCCACTATGTAGTTTCTAAAGTGTTTAAAGTGTGGGCTATTTAACATTTTGTACAAAACTTTCAAATGATTTCTTATGAAACTAGAGTCATAGTTTATTATATATATATATATATATATATATGTGAACATTACTACAATAGTCATCAGGCCTAAGGGGAGCAGAGCTTTGCTTCATATCGTTCATCAATAAAGACAAATGGCCTGTTTGTACTATTTTATTCTGTGAGGGTGTCTGTGGGTGGTGCAGTCACCCCAGGAGCTACGCAGAGAGAAAGGATTAGACAGCAGATTAGCAGGGCAGAGCAGGGTAATAAAGGAGATGGGGTGCCTTTGGAGTACATAGACAGTGATTACTTTTGTGTCAGCCTGCACAAGTGCCCAGTCTCCAGACTATGATGCCAAACATGCAAGTCTAATAGCAGCAATCAAAATGCAAAGCAATGTTCCCCTGCTCAGCTGTGTTGAGTGTGTCAGGCAACAGCAGCAGATGAGTAGTGCTGGGTGGAGGTCATCCCCAAACAACTGTGAATTATACATGGAGCAACATTATGAAAGTGTTAATTAAAACAAACATTCAGGTCAAGAACAGCTGTCAGACATGCGCAAGTATCAGGTTAATTTATCTTCATTGTGAATTTTAAAAATGGTCGATCACTGATGTACAGTATCTTATGAACAATGTAAGCTAAAGAAAAATTTTGAATTTTTGTTGACAGAACAAGAATTTGCCAAAAATGTGATGAAGACAGCTGAAGGAGCAAAAGCCAATGTGACACAGCAGGTATATCTTTGTTAATGCGATCTGTACCAAAGGAAATGTTTCATGACAATGTGTTGCAGTGTTTACTGTAGAAAAGCTGTCTAAAGTTGATCCTGTCTTTCCAGGAAATGATGCCCCTGCAGTACATCTACACAATGGCGCTAGAGCAAGACATCAATAACAGTCTGAACTCTAGAAAGTTTTCAGAACTGATACAAAGCCGCTGTTACCAAGTATGAGTCCACACACTCATACAAAAAGTTTGCATTTGAGGAAATTCTCTCAGTCTTTCAGTATGTAGCTATGACTTTGTATTTAATCCAGTATCTCTGTCCCAAAGGCCTTGGTTGCCAAGAAGAATGAGATTGACAAGTGGCGCAGAGAGTTTAAGGAGCAGTGGGCAAAAGAACAAAGGAAGATGGTAAAGAATTAGTAATCTTGTTTATGATTGAAGTTGAGCTCAGTTTATTGTCAAAACTAATTTTGTCAAATTAAGACATTCCAGCCAACTGGACGCCTGAAAAAGCAACAACAAAAAAACTAAATATATATATATAAACTGTCTGTTATCACCTTGCTGATACCTGCTTAAAGTATATTAGACTGCAAATTGCTCTCAGTAAAAACAAACTCATTAGTGTTTTTCCCTCCATTTGTTTCAATTGTTTTCAGAACGATTCAGTGACAGCTTTAAAAAAGGCTCGTCAGCAATACTTCCAGCGCTGTGATGAGCTAGAAAAGGCTAAAGCTGTCTCTGCTAAAGCTGTGGACGACACAGCTGGAACCAAAACACTGGACAAGAGGCGGAAGTCTAAAGATGAAGCCCAAACTAAGGTGAATGTCCCCTTAATGCACTACATCAATACAATCTTTAGAAATGCAGTTCCACTACAGGTCAGTAAAGAAAAATGACAATACCCTTTAAGAAAAATGATACACATTTGTGATAGTTTAGCAGCTATTATGTCTTTTGCTGTCTCCTCCAGGTGATGGAGGCAGAGCTTCTGTACAGACAGTGTGTGAACGACGCCAGGATCCACCAGGATGAGTTAGTGAAGGTCAAAGAGAGAATTATTTCCCACATTCGCAAGCTCATCTGTCAGGGAGACACTGTGCTTAAGGAGGTATGAAATTGAGAAACTAAACACCTGTCTTCTTGTCAGTTTACTTCTAGATAGTTAGATAGATCTAAGCAGTGCTTTATGGTTTGCAACTTTGCCTCCATGATTTAACAAAACAAAGGAATTATCAGTCCTGTTTTCGTTCATAAGAAACAGCATTTTTTATTATTTATTTTGTACTGAGATCAACAATGCTAGCAATGGTTCAATAAGCAAAGCAGTTTTCTGACATTGTATATTTAACTCGTGCAACTATTTGTTGATAAATTAGCACAGTAAAATCATTGCATTGTCACCTCATTATGTCTCCTTTCTGCATCAGGCCACAGTCAACATGTTTTACTACCAGCGGCAGCAGACAGAGGTCCTTCCTCTCGGCTATCACAACCTGGAGCTGACATGCAGGGCCCTGGAGCCGGGCGAGCCCTACCGGCTCTACATCCGTAACAAGCCTCACCATGAACAACCTCTCCAAGTCTTTACCTTCCAGGAGTATTATCCACAGGGCAAAGGGTACGGTAAACTCATCAATGTCTATGTCTATGTTTACTGTGGATTTCATGTAGGTTATATGTTATTATTTACTTTTTTAGGCCTAGAAATTAAAATTAATATTAAGTGGAAACAAAATTCATAAAATTGTCTTACAAAGAAAAACACACTGGATGTATCTGTGTGCTCATCTCTTAATTAAATAGTTGGTACAACCAGTAAACCCCCTTTTCTTATTTGCTGAGATTCAATAAAATCAAATGGGATAAAGCAGACAAATTGTTCAACATGCACTGGGTATATTATTTTTATGTCCTCCACTAACTCTTTATTTATTAAAATTATTGTCATGATCCTTTTTATTTGAAAGGAACAGACGGAAAACCAGCAACACTTTCAGCTCACTGCAGGACTCACCTATGACAGATGATAGCTTTCACAGACGACCCAACAATGGCAGTAAGGACTCCCCGTGATTACACCATTAACAGACAAGTTATTCACTTTCATTTAATATTTCATAGTTTTCTTATGTGTCCTTGTGCACTTTAGGGAGACCAGGGTACAGTGACAGTGAGAGTATTGGAGGCAGTTTGGAATCTCTGTCCAGCCCCGGTAAGCACAAGCCTGCATTTGTTTCTGCATGTACTTCTCTTTCACTTGCATATCAAAACTTTGCAAAGATAAACATGTTTGATTTCCCCTCTGCTGTGTCTCTGCTCTACTGAAGCTCACTCAAATAGGAGGCTGCCTAAAACTGCATCCACTTTGACAGTGTCATCAGACGACCTGGACGAACGGGATATGGCGTCAGAATCAGGTTTGTTATTTTCTTGTTATGCCACTATAGACAGACTATTTCTGTGCGTTCTTAACCTTACTGCCCCAGGGTATTAAACTGCAGGATTCTATCCTCTCCTTCTCCCCAGAGTGCATTGACAATACGCCAGTCAAACTGCGCACACTTTCACGAGCTGCACTGACACACCGACTCAAGAAGATGAAGAGCAAGATGGCCAAGTGCAAGCAGTGTGACAACTATATTGTTGTCAGTGGGGTCGAATGTGTGGAGGTATGCGGAGAGATATACTGTAACAGGGCATTGCAGACCATGAATGGTGTGAGTAAGATTGTTAATGTCGTCTGCTCTGTTCTTGCTCCACCTTCAGTGCGGTCTGGCTTTGCACAGGAAGTGTATGGAGGTATGTCAGCTCGAATGTGAGAACAGGAAGGGGAATGTGTTCGGAGTGGACCTCTCTCTGCTGCCACGTGACAGGCCAGATGAGGTGCCCTTTGTGGTGCAGCAGTGCACATCTGAGATTGAGAGTCGTGCTCTCTCAGTCCAGGTATTATTTACCATCATACTGAGCGAAATTTGGAAAAAAGTCCATTGTTAGACCTAGTTTGATAACTGTTTTCTGGTTTTGGTTTTCTTTAAGGGGGTGTATCGTGTTAGCGGGTCCAAGCCTCGGATCCAGAAGATCTGTCAGGCCTTTGAGATGCAAAAGGAGCAGGTGGACCTCTCTGACCTCTCACCGCATGACATCACCTCGATCCTTAAACACTTCTTCAAGGAGGTACACAAGTCATCGCCAAATAAACATGAATTTGGCAGATTAGAAGAGACGTCTTAGCTTTTTGTCTCTGATCGCAGTGATTAACCTCTCTATTCCTCACTCTCTCCCAGCTCCCAGAGCCCTTACTAACCTTTGACCTGTACAATGGGTTCCTCGCGGTGGGAAAGTCCATTCAGCACCTGAGTGAAAGGGAGTCGACACCAGACACTACCGAGATAATGGGCATCCTTGACAGCCTGCAAAAGCTACTACAGAAACTCCCTCCATATTGCTACTGCGTCTTGCAGCACCTGATGTCTCACCTGCAAAAGTGAGCATGAAGCTGGTTTACAGATCTTTCTAGTTATATTTTACCTTCTAGTGGACAGATTGTTCTTGAATTGTCTTAAATCTTTCCTTGAATATGTATTTTCTCTGTCCTCATAGAGTTTCACAGAACTACGAGAACAAGATGTCTCCTAGCAATTTGGGTATTGTGTTTGGGCCAACACTACTGCGCCCTCTTGTGTCTTCGGACATGCCAATGATTGCCCTACTGGAGACCAGCTACCAGGCTGTACTTATTGAGTTCCTCATCACACACCATGACAAGGTTTTTGGCCTTCGGCAAAGACCCAGTACACCTCCTCCCCCAGCTCCCACTGCACCTCTCCCAGACACCCCTCCTAGAGCTTCCTGTCCCCTGGATGGGGAAGATTACACTAGCACAGAACATGAAACCTCTTCCAGAGAGAGGCCACACTCACTAGAAGTAAGTACTGCAGTGAACACAGACTTGTGGTTGCTGCTGTATAAGTGTGCAGGATTTTCACAGGACTCACAAATGCAAACAAAATGTTTTAATTGTAGCACTTGACTGCTACTTGAGTTTAAAAAGAATTAGTGGCAGTTGCTTGGCACAGGGCAGAGTGAGTCAGTACCTGAGCTACTTTTCCTGATTAATGTACCTGTTGTTTTAAGAGCCTTTGCACCTGGCACCTTTATCTCACGTTTACTCCATCAGGATTAACACCCGGACAGCTGCTGCATTTTTACTGCTCCCTTGATTCTGACCTGAATGACCTTCTGTCAAGCTTTACTTTGTGCACATTTCACTGCTATTGCTTATAGACAAAAAATAATTTACCTCACTGTAGACATTTATCGTGGCTGTACCAGATGGTTTAGAGGCACAGGTAAAATTACAGAGGTAAAAAAGGGGGCTAACACTGGGAGCTACTTAATCTCCCAGTATAAAAATGTCCTGGACAAGGTTTAAATGTGTACCTGATATAAAAGGGTCAGAATGATCCAGTGGTAATTCATAGCATTCCCCGGTAAGAATCACTATCACATACTGTAGGGCTGCAGTATTTCAGGTTTAGACGTGGTCTGTAAATTCTAGCAGAAATCAACCACCCAACTTGTGTCATTCCAACAGAGTCGAACAATCAAGAGAGAGTCAAGCGAGGGTTATATATCTGACAAGTCTTCATCCAATGAGGCAGTGGACCAGCTCAGCCCTGAAGCCATTGAGAGAGCAGGTAGGCGGGACGTAGTGATAGAGCAGTTACTGACTAGAATAGGTGAGCTAGATAATGATAGAATCTGGTCATAGTGTTTGTAGATTTTTTTATGTAGTTTAGAAATGCTGGAGTTTTTAGTTGTTGGTATAATGAATTGTAGATTATTGTGTCAGCTTGTAACTTTGTTGCTTGAGGACATGTTTTAATTAATCCTATTAGAGATCTTGTAGGTATTACACATACAGCTCCCAAGTTGTTTACTTTATTTCTAACAGACAGGTTGATTGTTCTAGCTTACGGTTAGTCAGTAGCTTCCTAAGCACCAGACACAGAGTGCCTCAAGGGTGTGTTACAGTTCAGTTTTTTTTTTTTCTCACTTTATGCGTTTCCTCCAGTTATTTTTAGAAATTAGACTTCCTTCCATATTTTGTCACTGACACTATCTAGTTGTATTCATCTGTAGTTAGATTGCTTAGCCGTTGTTGCTGCTTTAATGCATTTAAGTGCATTTAAGAAATTGATGTGTGATCATAACCACCATCTTGATGATTTTGTCAGAGATCTCAGTGTTACTTTCCAGTCTTGGTTAAGTTTTGTCTGAGGTTTCATCTCCTCTTCGCTTGCTTTACTCTTGCTGCTGTTCTGAGGTGCTCTCTTCTCTGTGGCTACAATAGCAAGAAGCTTCTATTCACAACTAAACACATGAATATATCAACCTCATGTGCAGCATAGTGAAATTCATTTTAAACTTCTGTTAATAACTTTCAAATAAGTGCAGGATATGGTTGCAGTCTGCACCTTCCAGAAGAACTCTGTATGAATGTGTAACCTTAGGTTAAAGGCTGTTGTTGCTTAAACAGACTGAAACAATATTCAGGAAAGCCAAGGTTATTATAATCAATAACCTGTGTTTGTACTGCTTTAATAAGTCTCATGTATATTCTCCCTCTTCTGCCTCAGTCCTGGCTATGAGAGGGGCATCGAGCAATCCTCACAGTGAGCTGGTGGAGGAACCAGACTCTCATTTTGCGACCCAGCCGCACTATCGCTTCACCAGACAGCCTGTGAAGTATTACCGGCATCATAACCCAGGAACCCGACTCCCCAACCTTGGTCGTGCAGCCAGACAGCCTTCAGCCCCAGCGAGGGACAGTCCAGGGAGTGCAGACAGCAGCCGCAGTTCCTCTCCAGAACCACGGACACAGAGACTTTCCCAAAACTTAGATGTCCTATGTGAGAACACCTGCCAGGCCACCTTTGCAGGTGAGAGTAAAGCGGACGTCCCAATGAGCCCCCGTGAGGTTGTGCAGTACATGCTGGGATTGGACTCAACCTTTACATCAGCTACAACTGTGACATCATCCAGTACAACACAGGAGTCTTTACAGGAGGTGGCGGCTGGGTGTCAAACAGATCGGAACATAACTATGTCCGAAAACAGTGCTGGACAGAGTCGGGTTCTGTGTGAGTTACCAAAGTCACTTCCTGTTGAGCATAACCTGACATCGCCAGCCCAGAAGATCCTGTCTGGATTGAAGCTGAGACGCAGCCACTCAGGGAAGGATGAACAGCTCTTTGTCTGAGGAAAGAGACAAATCTCCAGACAGTTCACTGGAATACATTCACACACACACACACACACACACACACTGAGGATGTAAGACCATTAATATCTTTATTGTTTATAACAACTGCTACTATGCAGTTCATGTAGTTTGCATAAATTACATGCTCCCATATTTTACTCACAAATATCTCACCTGTTACACAAAATGTATCTTTTACTCAGATCAACAAAACATTTACATTACATTTTTTCTTAGTTTGGTGTCATTCCTTAAGAAAACACAGTTGAAAAGTCCAGGTCTGGTGCTTTCTTGGATGCCACAGCTATAGTGCCACTAATCTTCTCAAAAATGTTGATCTGTTGACCATCCAGTTGTCAAATATGCAGACCAGACAACAATGGATCACCTATTTATTGACGTTTTTAATATCTCTACTGTATTTGAATGTAACAAGCAGGTGGTTTAAGATTGCAGTTCAGGAGACGCAAACTAGCTCACAAGTATCAAGTTCTTTCAGGTTTTGTCCTGAACAAACTTTTATGAAAATCTGCTAAATACAAAAACCATCAAGTGTTGTATTTTTAAGATAATTTTGTTATCTATTTGTTGTGCTTTTTTAATGTTTTAAAGGCTCCGGGTTGAATTTTGTTGTAGTTCATAAACAAAGACATGCCTTTTCTGTGTGTGTGAGCACTTTTCCTTTTTTGCCACAAGGGGGAGGTCTTCTCCCAGTGTGTGGGGGGAAAACATGCTAGACACAATAGTAGAAGAGTAATAAACCACTTATTTCTAATGACATGTTTTGAGATGTCACTTTTTCCACTTCCATATCAGCCTTTTCATCCTGGGACCTGTTTCAGTTTAGAGTGTAATGGCGTATAAAGTGGAGCAACATTTTCTGATGTCTAGATAGAATTATGGTAGTCTGTAACTGCTCTCATCTTCATTTGCCTTTGTCCTTTTGATAATATTTCACCAGAATCGGGTAGTTTAACTATATAACAAAATATTAGAATCATAATATCTCGTTTCCCAGAGAGGGAGATTAATGTCTCACCGCAAGTATTTTCACGTATCAACTGCGCCCTTTAAAGTCTATGTCTAACATTGAACACAAATGCAAAAGATCATCCTCATCTGAGTTATCAATAGGCTGCATCATCGCTCATCTTCCCCCATCATCTTCCGCACCTTCTCCCTCCCTCCTTGTCTGTCCATCTCCTCCCTCTGCGCCTTTTTACGCACAAAACAAGTCAGAGCGCACACACGGCTGGCGGAGAAAACAGGAGAGACAATAGACAATAGTTTGGGTCATCATGGTATTTGGATTTTTACCGTAGGCAACATGCGCGCCGGACTGTGAGATACAGGTGACCGATCCGTAAACGCGTCTGTTCATTTACTGGCCGAAAGTTTCAACCAGGTTTTAATGTTGCCAACCGAGATTTCAGGAGGAGTGTGTTTCACTTCAAGGTAGGACTCCGCAACTCGAGAACAGGTTGTCAGTGAAGGCAGATTTCCAAATAATTGTATTGCTTGAATTGATGTGTGTCTCGCACTCCTGCTGCAGCGCTTGCTTTAGGTCTGGCGTTATTTGGCGTGTTTTTAAAAGTGCTCAGGTAAAAAAAAAAAAAAAAAGATAAAGTCACGGTGACCTATCTGATGAATTATGATCTTTGATCTGGTCAAGAAACAAAATAATGCAGAGGAGACCGATTTCATTAGAGGTCAGGTTTCAGTTGTTGGTTCAGTCTCAAACATTATAGTCTGGAGTCTGATGTTTACTTCTGATAGCACGATGGTAACCCTCTCCATTTCAACAACGCTTTAAACTACACTATCATGTTGGATTTCCTCTGATTGTTATCATATTAATTATTGAGCACAAAAAAGGTTTGTCAGTACCTTCCATCCGGGGAAAGCTTCTTACTGTTTCTTTTGAATGTCAATCTCTGGAGTGCGCTTTGACATCAACATTATTGATCCCATTGATCCTCATATGATATGACAATTACCGTGTATTTCTTTTAATTATAGCTCCAGGAGACCTGCAGCAAAGTTGATGAAATCTTTTTGAACATTTTTATTCCGGTAATCATTATCCGAGTGTCATCATGTAATTATCGATGCATTACACAAATGTGTCAGTAATGTATTCAACCCACAATTAGGCAAAACGTCAAATCAGATTAGCTGTATTTACATAATTCATTTGTTTTATTTCATTACATTATTTGCTGTGGCAATTACCCGACATGCAATAACCTATTTCATATTTACTTGTTTTCACAGACTCACTGTCCAATCCTCCCCAAAAGTAATATCGTTTTATAAAAATTACAAATTCTTTACAAATAGTACATAACAACAACAACAATCTTAATATAATTTAATATCTAATTGGATTATAGGGTATAAATATTGACATAGACCTATTGATTTTAAGAATCCTAATATAAATAAATACAGAGTCTGATAAGGCCACAGCAGACAATCTACATTAAAGTGCCTGTAGAAAAAAAGTTTCCTCAGCAATTTACTTTTGCAGCCAATTTCCATTTTGAAGAGAACTTTGTATGAAACTGAAATGCGTCAGCGTCTGTTAATGTTTCTTCCTTTCCACTTTGGTCACATTAATGAAACAATTGTACAAATCAGAATAACAACCTAAAACTAACAGTTGAATTATTGACTGTAATTTTAGAGAAAACTTTTAAACATAGGCCTACATATTTTTCTAAATTAATTTGAACACAAATGTAGTGAAAATGATCGAAACGTACATTTAAATAAGCTTTATGTTCTTAACGTTCTTTTTGGTATTTTCACAAATATTATCCTCTTTTTTAACTTTTGTTCAATTTTTACTTATTTTGTTGACTGATATTTAAAGGCTGACATACACTTATAGCTGCTTGGGCCCTGAAATGTAACCTAATATTAACCAGAAATACACTGGCATAATGGTCTAATCTTTGATACTTATATATAATTCTTTTCATTTGGATTTCTATTGAATTATCATAATTGTCTGCATCGTTTTTTATGTTGTCTATAATTTGAATCATTGTTTTTTATGCCTTTAACAACTTGAATTATATTCAAGCCGCGTGTGTGTGTGTTCGTGTGTGTGAGAATTCAGCCTAATTTTCGATCTATTTTGTGGTAATTTAAAATGTCACCTTGGAAATACATTAATTTTCTGTGACTGCTGACTGGTGTTCATAATCTGAGTGCATCGGCCTACATTTAATCTGATTAATTTCCTTATTTTGAAATTGATTTACTGCAGTGGTTGAGCTGATATAGATCGAAATGGAGAAAATGTTCTCTGTTTCTCTAGCGATCACACTGAGGGAAGGAGAGAAGGGATGAAAACAGAGGAAAGCCAGCAGTCCTGTCTGCAGCAGCCACCATCCTCTACGCCTTTTGGTGAGTGTTAGCTGACAATGTGTTGCGTAAGGTCCAAACGAAATAAACTCACTATGGAAAATTAAATGTTATCACTATAGAAAAATATTATCAGGATACCAAGTCTCTTGATGCACGTACAATTTTATTAAAAAGACCACAAGGAAGAAATACCATAATGTAGCCTATTATCATCATTGTCAAGTGCACTGAAACCCGTAACTTGAGTACTGACCCAACATAAATTTATATTGGACTATATGTTTATATTACAAAAAAATATACATCTGATTACCTACATGAATTCACTATCAGTGCAAAAATATTATCGGAATATTAGAGGGACACCACGGGAGAAAAATATACCACAACAAAAATAGCCATTTCTTACATTTACTCTTACTTATAACTATATATATACTATACATATGTTTATATAGGCAATGTTGACATTAAAAGAGAGTTTAAAACAACAGACTTGTAGAAAATATTTCCAATTGCAATGAAAAACAGCATGATTTTTTGAGGATAATAAACCACTAGTTCACAAAGTCCATTTATGAATAAATATGAATATTCTAGACATTTTTAAATCTTGAGGTTTAAAAATGATCAAATAGTGACCATACATGTTTGCCTGTAGAGTAGACGACACCCAGCCCAGGGTGGATGGATGGTGTTGGAGGGGACAGTAGATGTTCTGTGCCAAATTATGTCAAATATACACAACAATTTGTGTTATATTATTTTAAAAATCCGGGAAACATTACATGCTTTCAGTGTTTCACAGAGGGCCATGAGGAAAACTGAAGGGAATCAACATTTCCTTATGGTGTGGGGTTACAGTGGGGTGACTTTGATTCGTGACCCCTGCATTTTAAATAGCCTGTCTTCGGCCCTGCCTCTGTCTCTCTATCCACGCACTGATGTGCCCCCTCCAGGTCCGGAGTACAGGGGAGGGGGAGAGTTGTGTGCGGGCTGCGAGTCACCCATAGCCGACCGCTTCCTGCTGCGCGTGAACGAACGCTCCTGGCACGAGACCTGCGTCAAGTGCGCCGTGTGTTTGAGCGCGCTCACCGGGACCTGTTACTGCAGGGACCGCCTGCTGTACTGCAAGCATGACTATGAAAAGTAAGAGCACACACACACACACAGGCACACACACACACAGGCACACACAGGCACACACAATAATGCTCACAGCCAAACACATACACTGGATAAAAGCAGCTCCTCCAGCTGTGTGCTCCAGCTTCTCTACTTGATGCCATTATTGCTATACCTTCAAACATGTGTGCATGTGTGTGGTGTGCACACATGCCAGTAGGCAAAAAGGACATACAAATTCTATACAAGAATTTGTGGTTTTACAGGGAGCTCTGCGCTGTTTCTTGATGAAGAGGAGTTTGCTGCTCCCAACCGCCGTTCTTTACGTTATGCTAAACAGGCAATCACCTCCTGCCTCTGGCTTCCATTAAAAAAGAGGTGGTGGTATCCATCTTCTCATCTATAGAGATGCAGGTGTTAATTAATGAGGTGTAATTCTGGACAGAACTAGCTTTTTTCCCCCTTTTCCAGTCTTAAGCTAGCTAGTCTTAAGCTGCTTAAACTAGTTAAGCTAATCACCTCCTGGCTATAGCTTCAGATTTAACAGACAGACATCAGAGCGGTATCAATACTCATCTCACCCTCGGCAAGAAAGTCAATAACTGTATTTCCCAATATGTCAAACTATTCATTTGA